TCCTTTTTTAACCGAACTTTTTCTTATGTAATTAGTAAAACTTCAGTACGAGCCAGGCAGTCTTCCGGGTCATCTACAAATCATGTTTTATCACAAGATTTAATGGAAATTTGGGTTAGCTGGACATTTTACCTAGCTGAGAGCTGGCTAGAAAATATCTTCTAGCAAAGAGAATTCTGATAATCTTTCTGTGAGATAGCTGATTTCTGAACATAGTGGCCAATGCTCTTTTTCAAAGATATAAGTTTTAGTCTGAAGGTTAAGAGTGAATTATGTTTGAACCACCTTGAGTGCAGGTACTCAACTTTGATTCCACAGGCACCCAGTATGATGTATTGCTTGTATTCTGCTTTACACCCCAGGGGTCTTTCCAAAATACATCTCTGCTCACCCAGCCTCGACTTAACCAGATTTTTAAAAACTCTGCTTGAAAAAGGCTTCAGCTTTATAAAACTCTCAAAACCCATAGGAACCCATCCAGGGGATTAAGGACTTCAGATGGAACATCTCCTTGGAAATCCCTCATCCATAGGCATCTGTCTACTCATCTCTACACCTCTCTTTGATCAGGTACCCTTGCCACACATTTGTTTCTTCCCATTCCAGATTATGCCTCTACTTCCATCCATTTCTCAAGCCCAAGTCTAAAAGCCATTCCAATTGGACTTCATCTCTTCTCAGATGGTGGTTTACCAGTAGGTCCCAATCCTTCTACTTCCAAAAAACCCCAATGGATCTGCTCACTAAATCCAGCCAGTTACCATTCAAAGTGACTTATATATGCACCCAAAGCAACCACCTTCCTGATAGCCTGGTTTTCACTCTTAGCACTTCCCACCTGTTACTTCTAAGCAATCCAGACCTTCTCAATCTCACACCCAGAGGTCATAGAAAGCTCAAAGCTTTAACATGTGTCTTTGTCACATTATAGACACTGTGAGATTACTTTAAACAAAAGTAAAACCCTGGTGTCCCTGATGCTTTGTTAACTTGGCTCCAAGATAATATTGCCTCTTTCTCTCAGTATGACTTAAATCTCCTAATTCTTCCCAAATGTCTCCACAGCTATTTTCCTCCATTCCAGGATTTCACTTTGCATCTGGCTGTCATCATTTAAACCTCTCAATCCAACTCTGCCCTATTTTATGTTTCTGATTTACTGACAAGACTAGGCTAAATGTCTTAGCATCTTTTTTTCACAAGTAAGTCTGACTTTTGTTTCTGTTAATCACATCAGATCATTCTATGTCTTAAACATGTTTTTTGTGCCTCAGTGCATATAAAACCGAGCCCAAACACCAACTTATGCCTACAAAAGCCCAGTGTGGCCACCTTGGCTTCTTAACCTTTTGTTTCTTCTACTTCTTTCTGTCAGAGGTCCAGCCAGAGAGAACCGATCAAGATATTTGAAATACACAAACTTTTTCTCACCCAAGAAACCTCCATCTGTTCTTTTATCTGCCTAGAACCTTTTAAAAATTATTATACTTTAGTTATATGCTGTACGGAGAGTGCTGTGTGTATGTGTGGGGGTCAGAGGACAACTTGCAGAAGTTGGTTCTCTCCTTACGCTGTGTGAGTCCTAGGCATCAAACTCAGGACATCATGCTTGATGGCAGGCGTTACTAGCTGAACTATCTTGCTGGTCCCATTCGCTCAGCTATGATTTCCTCATGGTTTTCTGGGTTTAGTTCAAAGACTACTATTCCAAAAGACTTTATATATCTACATAACATACAGTAACCAGATTCCCAAACACTGGCAGCTCCCTGGACTGACAGTCATGTCTTCATGTAGTCCTCTCCCAAGCTGTCTCTGAACTTTGGATTTTACCAAGCCACATGGAAAGAGTGAGCAGTGGAAGGATGGTAACTACACATGTTTGAAATGCAATCACCTCTTGGGAGCTGGTAGAATCTTGTGCAGGAACATTGAATGGGTGATAGGCAACAGGAACCCCATGATAAAAAATATCTTGGAAGATAGTCCCATGCAACCTTTCATTTGAATGTGGTTACAGGGATGACTTCATGTGCAGTACCTGAGGGAGGACTGCTCAGTGGAGTCAAGTCAACCATACAATAAGAAAAACTAATAGGACTGCACTTTGGAGGTTATTGTACTGCAGGGGGAAACCTCTGCATTTTGATGTACTTTGTAGTGCTTACTAATGTTAGACTTGAACATGTTCCCCAAAGGTTCATGTCAGAAATAGAAATGTTTGTCGAGAATTTTTGTATTGAATGTTTTGTCTCTGATGTTTTTATTTCTTGTGGAGTTGTGGTCATACTATATGACACAGGCTGGTCTGGAACTCAAGACCATCCTCTTGCCTCATCTTCCTGAATGCTGGCATTACAGTGTGTTCTGCCATGCCTATAGCTTCATGTACTTGAGTTGTTTGAAACATAATCCCCATTGCAGCAGCAGTGGGAGCCAGGGCCTAAGGAGAGGTTGGGAGGCCATGGGGCTCTGCCTTTCCAGGAGAACTAATGTCATCATGAGGGCTTCCCTACCTGAACTGCACATTGCTCATTAAAGATTGAGTTAGGCACCCCTTCATTTCTTCATATTTGCCAACCTTCTCATTATTTTACCCTTTAACCTTTAACCTTCTTTCATGGGGTGACTCCTCAGAAACTGTTTGCCAATTGCCAGCCATTAGGCCTTGGACCTGCTACCTACCATCTAGAACCAAATGGAGAATAAACTCCTCTTCCTTATCATCTACCCATTCTGTGGTGTTTTATTTACGCTGTACAAAACAGTGTCATGGTTACAACCTTAAATAACTGGGTATTTTTGTGTTTATTATTCATATCTGGCCATTACATGTAAAAAGGAACACAAGGCTGCAACCTGATCAATCAGTGTGAGTTTTTAAGTGCTGTGGCAGTATTTTGAACCTACTAAACACTCAGTAATATTTTTTATGAATAGATAGAATGGTTAAAGATCTAAAAATGTATGAGGAAAGTATCTGAAAAACAGGTGCTAGAGCATATTCAGATACCTAAGTCAACTTTCCATACTATTGTTGAGGTAATGGGCATTCAGGGAAGAACACATGCACTTTAGACTTGCAAGAATGTCCAATCTGCAGCATACAGCCCACTTGCATCCCAGGAGAGCCATTAAGGTGAAACAAACACATCTGTAGATGACAGCATTTTGTAATATCAAAGGGTTGGGCACTAGCCTAGTAACAAGGACTTAAGAAAGAACTTGCAAATGTGGCCTTCTAGAGAAAAGAAACTCACAGGAGACCCAGACCCAAAGATACAAAGGGCTCTGAGACAAGCAGTGTCTTCAGGGATAGGCTGTCAGCCAGGATTCTTCCAGGAGGAAGCTTTAATCTCATACTGTCTGGAGTGGGTATCTGTGCCACCTACAAGGTGATATTTAAGAGGACTGTTTACCTTCACCCTGAGAGCTATGGCCATTGGTTATGTCCATATCAAAATGCTTGTGTGTTCTACCATCGGCACAAAGCTGTAAACTCCCAACAGGCCCCAAGCCAGTGTTCTGTCGCTGAGGTGTATTACTCATCTGTTTCTCTTTGTTGTTGTTGTTGTTGTTGTTGTTGTTGTTGTGTGTGTGTGTGTGTGATATTTGCTATACTATCAACTTCCACTTCTACTCTGGCATTGGCCTTGTACCCACATGGAATTGTTCATTCACCTCTACTAGGTGTTTCCAAGTATATCACATCCTGAGGCAGTGTAGTGGTTTGGTGAGAATGTTCCCTGTTGCTCATATGTTTGTATACATGGTCCCCATATTGTGGAATTATTTGGTAAGGAGTAGGAGGTGTGGCCTTGTTGGAAAAGGCATGCCATTGAGGATGGGCATTGAGATTCCAAATCCCATGTCACTGCCAGTTAAATCTCTCTCTGCCTTATGCTCGTGGGTTAGGATGTAAGCTCTCAGCTACTGCTTCAGCACAACACCTGCTTGCCTGCTGCTATGTTCCTCCCCATGATGGTACTGGAATCACTCTCTGAAACTGTAAACAAACCCCCAATTAAACATTTTCTTTTATAAGATGCTTTGGTCGAGGTGTCTCTCACAGCAATACAAATGTAACAAAGACAGAGAGGTAACTTGGCCATAAAATGCTTACCACACAAGCATTAGGGCCTGAATTTGGATCTTCAACACCCACATAAAATGGCAGTAACATAGCATGCAACTGCAATCACAGCACTGGGAAGGAGAGGCAAGGAGATGTTTGGGACTCACTGGCCAACAAGTGAGTCAAATTGATGATTGGGGTTTAGTGAGATCCTGTCTCAAAAACTAAGGAGGACAGTGATGAAGTAAAAGAACCAGTGTCTACCTCTAGTTCCTGCCTGCATGTGCACATACAAGTATGTGCACAGGTATGTCGGTTTCTGGGACTGGTAAGATAACTCTGTGGCTAAGGGCACATATTGTTCTTGTATGAACCAAATTTAGTCCCCAACTTCCTTGTCAGATGGCTCGTAGCTGCCTGTAACTCCAGCTCCAAGAGATTTAGTGCCTTCTTCTTGACTCAGTAGAACCTGTACTCACACAGAAACATACATATAAGTAAAATAGTAGTGATAATAATAAATTAAAGATGTCAGGTTTGAAGCTTCTCTGGTCCTATAGGCCATCTTCCAAACTCAAAGCATTGTCTACACGTAAATAAAATTATTTCTCCTATGACTGATAGGTGAGGCCCAGTCAAACAATTCAGGCAATGAGACCAAGGCTAACAGCTAAAACAAGTGAGGAAGTGCTGACACATCCCTATCTCCAACGTGAAAAGTTTTGAGTCCATTGCCTTCTCCTGGTCATGCCTCAGTCCCCAGGGCCTGCATGTGCCACACTCAGCCTGTATTCCACCCTGCACATTGGTTCACAATGACGGTGCCTTAGTTTTCTTGGTATATATTCATTGCCAACCTTAAGCTGAGCACTAGTGGATACTGAGGATGGCAGCCAGCCCGGTGTAGGAGGAGATATGTACATACCTTAATTTCCAAAGGCATCTATTCTGCCTTTCAGGTCTGCTGGCAGGCTTGTTAAGAACGCATCTTGGGACAGAAGAGATGTGAGAAACTTGGCTTTTGTGCGATGCTTTTCCTGGAGAGATGTGAACAAACGCCTGTTTATTTCCAAGGGGGAAATGGAGACAGACTAAAGTAACCAAATCTAAGTTGGTGAACCAATGAATTTGTCGGGGTTGCTTACAGAAGGGTTGGAGAGGGATTAGTTGTAGAAGCATGGGCATCTCAATGGCACTGTGCATCACTAAAGCCCACAGCAGCATGGGTGACAACTCATGAAAGCCGGAGCCCTGGGTGCTCTGCAGGCAGACTCAGAAGCTCTTCCCTTCCACCGTTTTAAGGTGTCTTCTCCAAAGTTCTTAAGTCTTAGGAGTTTTGAAGTAAAATGTTACACAGCACTTGGGCCAACAGAAGATAACTTCCTCCATATCTGCATCATGGCACATTCAGAACTGTACAAATATTTAAAGTGATTGCAAATAGTAAATATCCTTTTATTTAGAAAATTGGACTTAACCCTAAATGTCATTTCCCTCATAGTTTTTAGCAACATAACCTTCCTTCCACACTCTCTCATACAGGCAAGGTGTTAGAAACAGCAGATTCAGGACCCATTTGACTTTGTGTGTGTGTGTGTGTGTGTGTGTGTGTGTGTGTGTGTGTGTGTGTGTGTGTGTGTGCTGGTTTCTGCAAGAGTACAAGTGAGGGAAGATCACTGGAACCGATTCCTTGGTTTATTTCCTACTGTCAAAAACTCCAGGCTGGGGAAAGTCTCTTCAAGGTCACCAAGTTTTACAGATGACAAGAGAGTTGCCTGTGAGCTCTGGCACCTAACACTTCCATGCTAAAGTCACAGCTTGATTCCACCTCTGTTCCACATCCTTACCTGAGTGCCAGACTGGAGGAGCTTCCTTTTATTCTCTGGTGCCTCAGCTGGTTTGCAGAAAGAATGCCTTCTCCCTGTTTTCCAGGCCCATCTCACTGGGTTCCCTCCTGGTACACACTGGTTGCTGCCTCCACACTGGGTTGCTTAGCAACCAGGCTCTGTGGGCTTCCTAATAGACAAAGGCTTCTCCTTCCTCTCCAACTGCTGCACTAATGCTCATTGTTGACAAGGGAGCAACTCCTGGCTGAGCATATGCTATAATCTGGAGGCTGGTTTAGAAACTTGGTGCCAAGAGCTATGGGCATCTCCCCTGAAGCAGAAAGTGGGGTGGAAATCTGAGGTGGAAATCAACTCATTGCATGGCACTGTTCTAAGTGACTATGTTGGCCATTTATGAGCAATTACATCAGAAAGGAGTGCCCATCATCATCCTTGTGCCCAGAAGATCTCAGAAAGAGCAATATCCCCATGCACACAACCACACAGTGTGAGATAATTTCATACATATCCAAGGGGCCCAAACTTAAAAATCCATAGAGGAATTTTACATTGCTGTCTCTGGATTGTATCACTGGCCACCATCAAACTCAGCCAGACACAGGCTAGCATTATGTCATAAGAAATTAGGTGACTCCCCTCAAGATAGTGAAGGGAGAGTACAGTGCATTCTCACAGCTCTTCAGGGGCTTCTGAGCCCGGACGCTTTCTGTCTCTGAGACAGATACATCTTCATGGAGGAAAAAAAATGATTTGCTATGCAGCGAGCTGGCCTGCAGAGAAGGAACCACAGAGGGTCATTTCTAAATTAGTAAATAAGCTGATGAAATGCAACAACTTGTTTTGGGTCATTGAGTAAAGCTGAGACCCCCTTACCTTCCTGAATGAAGGCAATCAGCCATTAAACTCTACATTATGGATGTCTCTATGTCTATAAGACAGGAGATGAATATACTTAGGAATGTAAGCAATGAAGTAAACCTTCAATAAGGATATGCATTGGTCATGGCCACTAGTGCAATCCTGTGTCTGTGTGTGTGTGTGCACTAGTCTGTCTGCGTGAGTGTGCATTCGTATGGGAAGCTCATGCACCAGTGTGCATACACAAAGGCCAGAAAACTGTCAGATATTCTCCATCCATCTCTAACTATTTCTTGGAGTCAGGGTCTCTTCCTAAAACTTCAGCATGATCTTCTTACCTAGGCTAGAAACTAGAAAACCCCAGCAATTCTATTGCCTCTTCACAATTCAGATCTGGGGGTTACAGGTATTGGGGGACACTCCTCAGCCTGCCCTGTGGATGCCTGAATCTGAACTCTGACCTTCAGGATTATGAAGTAAGTTTTCTTCACCAGGGAGCCACCTCTCCAGTTCCTGTCCTCATCTTCCTGTTGTACAGAGTCCAATATGGAGAAGTCACTCCAAGTATGTGTAAAATGCAAGAACAAAAGTGAAGAGGCTCCAAACAAGCCAACATGACAACCGCAGCAAAAACCCTTATTAACTAATTTCTCCTTCCTCTCTCCCACTAAGACTAGTACAGTATCACCTTACATCAGAAATAAAGTTGCTATCCTTCCAGATGAAAGTAAAAGAGATACCCTGCAAAAGAAGAAGAGAGGCACCCAACTAGAAGATTACTGTCTTTCAGGCTGAGAGAAGTGGAGAATATCAGCCAGGTCACGGATGCACCTGAGCCCTCAATATAGTAACTCCTTCTCCTGCTAGGGACTATTCTATCCTTGAACACGATGGCCACTGATGTCTCCCTAACTTAGCTGGGTGCGAGGAGTCCCAACTTCAGTGACTATAACTATTAGGTTTCTCAGCAAATTCCTTAGAGACGAGTTTGGAATTGTCAGGCCATATGTGTAAGAGTATGTGATACACCAAATCCCTAATGCAATAATATTTTGAAGTTTTTCATTCAGGGCCTAGGGCTGAAAGTATGGCTCAGTTAGTAGAGTGCCTGTTCTGGGTTTAAATCACACCACTGTATAAACCACGCATGGTAAAATATGCCTGTAGTCCCGATACTCAGGAAGTAGAGACAGGAAGCTCAGAAGTTCAGTGCCACTCTCAGATACATAGTGAGTTTGGGGCCAGCCAACTCTTCGAGATCCTAACACAAAATTCTAGAATGAAAATTTTAAATATATTTTTAAAATTAGCCCAAATATTAGCCTATATTTTCAATTGCATTGATAAACAACAATAATTTGAATAAGTAAATATTTGGTTTGTGTCTCTATTTTTCTAGGAGTCTATGCTCTATGGCCAACCACCAAGGTATATTTTCAATGAAAACTTGGAAAGAAATTGTATTTTCAAAAAAGAAGAGGACCCAGCATTTCTTAAGAGTTCTCTCTTTTCTAGGTTTGGAGAAGCAGTGGTCTAGACCTGGCCAAGAAGGAGTTGGCAGTTGGTGCCCAGCCACTTCTTTTCTCCCACCCACCACTGGGATGAGGAGCCACTGAGAACACGCTGTTCCTGCCCTCCACATGCTGATGGGAACATGCCATGCTTTTCCATCACATGCTAGATTTTTCTGACACCATCTGTTCCTTCAAGCCCACGACACACTGTTGTCTTACTGTCACAACTCCATCTGAAAATGTCGAGAACCGTGATGAATGAGTCTGAGAAAGGCTGTTTACCTCCTTACCATCTACCACCAAGTACTCAGGGATTTGGGTGTGGTAGCAACACATGATTTTTTTCCTACATTCACATTCTAGGATCAGCCCCACCTTGTGTGTCTCAGAGTTTGAAAGACAGACACAAGGCATGGTTCCAGAGAGTCTTAATCCATTAAGCAAGCACTTGCTGCCACTAAAGGGAAAATATGGAATTCTTGGAGCATCTTCACCAGAGTGTGGCATGTGTCAGATATACACAAAGCTCTTGGTCACTAAGACCTTAGCTTCCACCAGACACAATGTTAGACACCTTCTGTTTGCTGTGGTACCGTTGCCATCCATCATCATGCCCAGGGGCAGCTGAGTAACCTTTGGAAAGGGGATGCCAGCTATTCCTCCCAGCTGAAAGGCCGGTGCATGGTGATGTCATCGGGGTGGCAACTGTTGTTGTAATTTAAAAATCAGCCCATGAGAAAAAGACACCATGCAACAGAGCTCATGTGGAGGTTTTGTTTTTGTTTTTGAATTAGGGGAAAGGGGGAGCGGAAGGGGGAGACCAACCTTTGGGGACAGGAGCAGCAGAAAAGAGAAGCAGAGAGAAAGAGGGGGGAGACAGAAACAGGTAGAGAAGAGGAAGGAACAGACAAGGAGACGGAGATAGGCAGGACCTTTTAAAAGGGAACATAATGAACGTGCACAGGTGATGCTCTTAGTGGCTGCAGTTGGAGACATATCCTATCAGAACCCCAAGGGCAGGCTGGTACAGATGCCTGAATACTAACAACTGTGTCCTCATGGTCTGTGCTTCACTGCTTCCTGACCCAACAGCAAACAGTAATCACTGGTGTTTGCTCTCCTGGCTTTCCAATCAAGAAGATAACTTCTTCTGAATCTCTACTTCTGTTTGCTAATATGAGTCCTGAATGAGGAATTTATAGCATAGAGACTATGAAATACTGATACATGTTCCTTGCCTTTATATTTTTTGGCAGGGGTTGGAGGTCCTTAGGAGCTGTTCAGCTTATTTATTTGGGACAAGGTCTCTCACCAATTGAGCTAGGTTTCATATCTCTAGCTCTGAAATTATAAGCACAGTCATGATTCCTGGCTTTTCCCATGGGTTCTGATGATCAAAGCTGAGCCCTAATATTTGAACAACTGCTTTATTAACTGTAATCTCTCCAGTCTAGACTCCTCACCTTGGATCTTGTACTGTAGAGGCTTAGTACATATCACTGATGGATTCTGAATCAAATGAGACTATTGCATGATCCAATTATTTCTCTTCCCAATTAGAACATGTTTGAAAGGGAAAGAGCCATTACCAGCTACTATGTCTGGACAACAGCTATGAAGTAGGATCATCCTGAACCAGATGGGCTACAAGGTTGTCTTCATCACTTCCATTCTGTCTGTTCATTCCACTACATGAACTCCCTTTGCAATAGGTAGGATCAGTGCTGAACCAGGCAAACTGGGACACTAGAATGTCAAGCTACCAGTCCTACACACAGCTGATAAACTGGGATTCTCAAAAAAGCAGCCTGGATATCACCCTGATTTTGTTTTCCCTTTTATAAACGTGTTTGCAATTTTTCTTCTCCCCCTTCTCGGCAGATGCTACCTGATTTGTGTTCTGGCTAATGTCACCCCACATGAAATGTATTGCCAAATGCAATGAGGTGTGACTGACACCAGGAGAGATGATGAGTGAGCAGAGTGGCAGCTGGCGGCTGTTCCTTCTTGTAGAATTTAAATGAATCAAGTTGCATCCTGATAGAGTACATCTGAACATGCCCAGAGCCAAACAATGTTCTCATCCCAGACGTGGAGATGGGAGCAGTCTGAGGTGCTGCCACCCTCGTGACAGATGCATGGATTCTGAGCAGGGAATAAGCCTGGGGAACATGAGAGACAGATGAGGGGCAGATGCAGGGTTGCAGAAGGAGAGGTACCAAAGTGGAGAGGACACCTGATCACTCATTACCCATTGCCTGCTATCACAGTAACCTAGACAGATGTTTGCCTTAAGTGAGACCTTGATTCATATCAACATGCTCTAGTTCTCTCTTAAGTTCAGGCTGGCCTTGAACTCACTGTGTAGTTTAGGGTAAACCTGATCACCTGATATTTCTGCCTCCAACTCCCTATTGCTAGGATTATAGGCATATACCACTATTCCTGGTTTATGTGGTGCTGGGATTGAATTTAGGGATTCATTCATGGTAGGCAAGCATTCTTCTACCTGAGTTACATCCTCACCTCCTCACTCCTTGGAGGGTGGGGAGTGATTTTTTTAGAGAAATCTTATTTCTAGGATCTCTAGGCATGTCATGGGCTTCAAGGACAAGAATATAATAAGCCCTTGGAGAGTTAGGAAAAGGCTGGAGTGCTACTATAAGAGTCCTTCTACCTGTCTTCCTCTCTTTAGTCTATCTGTTGCTTTCTATCTGTCCTCCCTTCCCCTCTCTGGATCATACATTT